GTCTGTTTTGGTTGTGGAAACTTTCTCCCATTGAAAGCAGATGCTGTCTATCATATCAGGTGGCATTGCTACAGCTGTTCTAAGCCCATACTTGGGACAAGGGGACCCAAGAAGCATCTTTGTCTTTCCAGGTTTCTGTATAAGAAACCTATTGAGAGGCAAAACCAACACAATTATTCCATCAAGAGAATTTGTTAGTTATTTTTTTTTATGATTTCCCTGTAAAGATTCTTGATAAGACGTACTGTTTTTTAGGAATGATGTTCATAAAAGCAAGTGAGATTCACAATTTAGTGTAGCTTCATTTCCTTTCTTCTGGGTAACAGAGTGATAATTTTGGGGTAAACTGAGTGTATGTAGTTAAAACAGGTTAAGAAGCGTGGCTGTGGTAGTTAGGGTCTTCTTGCCTATGAGACATAGAACTTCCAGTTCAGTATTCCCTGTTCAGACAGGTAGTCTTCATAGGTAATATTAATTCACTCAGTACCTTGAAATATCCCCTGTCGGGCTTAGAACTCAATTTTCAGTCACCTCATTGGGATGGTCAATATTGTAAAGCGTATTTTAGCTATTTTGTTGTGAAAGCTGCTTGATGAGCACTAATTGACCCAAATCTGTATGGTCATCACCTGATTATTGATCCTTGCATATCTTTACTGCAAGTTTTCTTTATTTGACTTCAAGTACAAAAGATTTGTGCTCTCTTTACAGAAATCCCATAAAAATAAAAGTGTATATCCTCAAGATCCTTCCTTCTCGGTTCTTAATGGACTCTAAATGTTTAGATGCTTTATGCAAGCAAAATCTCTAACAAATTGAAGTATATGCTTCTAAGCCTTCCAAGAAGCATTTAAATCCTAGCATTGAAAAAATAATTTGTGAAATTTAGGTAGTCCTATATTCACTCCTGTGAAATTATTCCTAAATGGAAGAAAGTATGTCAACATGAAATACCTTCGCTTTAAACAGAAGAGATGTATTTTCCAGGCTGGTTATAAAACCAGACAAACAAACAACAACAACAACAAAAACCCCACCAAAACAAAACACCAAGGAAATGCAGAGGTAAAGTGTGGGATACAAAGATTCCAGAATTTCTTCATTTGAAGACTCCTGGAAGCTTTTTCTTTTTTCATTAGTATTTCAAAATGTTCAGATATGTGAGACAGTATTTCTTTGCTTTGATACATGCAGAAGTTTGGCTCATTTCCAGATCAGGACAACAATGGTGTGCTAAAGACATAGGAGTTCATGAGGAAGGAGAGAGAGTTGTTTTTTTCTCAACCAGCCAACTTGCTTAGCAATGAAACAGCAGAATAGAGTTGGGCTTACTCGTGAAGAAAAGGTAAAGAAAACATTTAATATGTGTGAGGAGATAGAATATTTATATTTTTTTTTAAGACAAGAATAAACTTGATACATCATTCATGTGAAGTGCCCTTGTAACAAACCGATCAATTAAGATGAAATATAGAATAACAAAGAGTCCTGAAAAATGCAGGAGTGAAGAAGTGAACACAGGAAAAATGTGAATAATTTTACACATTTTCATTTCCTTTTCGAAGTTATTGACTGAACACCTACTTGGAAAGCAGAATGAAGTATCATCAGAGAGGTTTCTAAGATTATGTTAATTTCAATTGTCTTTTTTTTTTTCCTTTTTGAAGTGGAAGTGATCCTATCAATTTTAACTGGGTGTTGAGAGACATTTTCATGTGTAATGTCATTGTTTTTTATTATCAAGTGATAATCCCTGTGTTTCCTCACAAAGTGAGAGAATATAAGCAACGCCTAATGCTTCAAGCTGAAGTAATTCTTTCTTTGTAGAATTCAATTAGTTTCTTCACTTTGTTTCTTGCATTACCACATTGAAGCCCATTCTCTGTTTTACGGTCCCTGTTGGTGGTGTGACTGCAGGTGTATTAAGTTTTTCCAAAGACTTTAAGGCTATTTTACAATTCCACAGTAATATCATTGGTTGGGGGCCCTGCTTCAATTTTTAAACTTTTGGACTACGTATAGCGCGTTACCTTCCTCATTCGAACTGAGATGACTGGCTGTCGTCTCACTCCCGTGATGAAAGCCTCTGTGTTCTGTGGTCCCTCAGCAACATGTTCATTTGAGTTCTTACGCCTCACAGAAGTGCCTACAAACCTTGTTTACGTACTGTACACTGCATGCAAGTCACGCCCTTGTCCCTGCTGTGGCTCTTGGTTTCCAGGCCAGACACTTTCTGCGGTGCTGGATGTGTGTAGGGGGGTGTTGGTTCTTCAGGCTTTGCAGCCCAAGGCTGTTCCTGTGACCCTGTCTTGCTTTGGGGAGCACACCATTCTGTTTTTCAGCTCAGGATCTTAATGTAGTAAGGAGTCAAAATCCTAAATAGGAATTAAGAGTTTAAATATATCCTGAATCTGCTGTGACATATTTAAGGAGGCTGTAAAATAGCTCTTGACCAGATATTTCATTATGTATATAAAATCCTTGTAAAATTTTGTGGTTAGTTTATCATACACAGTAATGCTCTTGAAATTACCATTTAAAGATTACTGTAAGTGTGAGGCAGGCTTAATTCTGTTCCTTTTTCTTTTTTTTTTTTTTTTTTTTTTTTTGTACTTGATAACCACATGGTGTGAACTTCAAGACTGATTTCTCATTTAAATTGTAGGTAAGTACAGAGTGATTAGTTTACCTTCATTAAAGAAATAAATGGTAAGCTGTTTCTAGGCATCGGGGGAAATAACAAGTATTTCCTGATGAGTGATATATTTATTTATTTTTAAAATAACTTCCTCCTCCCCAGATTACCAGAACATATAAATGACTGAACATATTTAAATAATTTTGTATTATTTATTGAACTGGAAATACGCTGCTGTTGGGGAATTACTGTAACGGGTTTCTGAAAGCTCATTGTGGGGCAGAAGTTTGTTATCTCAGGGAGTAGGGACCTAAGCATAAATGCAACGTTGTCTCTTCCTTGTAGGAGTGTTTTGTTGAACATGGAACAGGCCGCCTCTTTCATGTGGGAACAGTCTTGAGTTTGGTTCCTACAGGTACTTCTGTATACTTTTCTTTCCTTTTTATTTTGTTTCCTTATCCTTTCTTTCACCTCTGCTGTTTTTTACCTTTTTTCCTTCAACAAGAGAATCGGCAAACATACACACATTTTTTTTTTGCACATAGTTCTTGCTTTACTTCTTTTGCTTCCTGATGTTACATACTCATAAGCAATTTTCTTGTTGCCCCATGGGATTAAAAACAGGAATAAAATATCCACAGTATGGAACTCAGAGTAGATGGACTTCCTAGGAGGGCTTATTCTCCTTAAACAGCACCAAAAACAACTGCCAGGTTTTTTGTTGTAGAATGTCTTTTGCTCCAAACCCTAGGGAGAAAAGACATGCAAGATTGATGCCTGTTTTTGTTAGTCAGACCATCGGAAGTGTGTGTTGCTTCTTTGCGTGCTTTCCCATTTTGGGTATGCAGGGCATTTGGGAACAGTGTTAATACCTAAAATGCTAGGCTGGCCTTACAAGCCCTGCTTTTCCTACCTCCTGGAAATGTTGGTTGATTTCCTTACAGTTAGTGCTTTCATTGTGAATCAGTCGGTACCAATCCTGTTCAGTTTTGAGTATGTTTTGAATGCTAAAGGCATGAAACTCAACAAAAAATAAATAAACCATGTTTCCAGTTTTGATCTCAGTAGTAGTACCCTCGTTGGATGATCTGGTATGTTTTCAGAGACTAAAGTAATGGTCAGAATCAATTTGAAATTGTATATTAAATGAAGTCTGTATAAACTTCTTGAGTAGGTTTTGTTAGTGTAGAGAATACTGTAGACTTCTGCCTAGTGATACTTTCTGTGTTAAAAATGCTTTTATTAACTTGCCATGAAATATAACATCTATTTCCTGTCAGACCAAACCTTCTATAAAACCTTTCTGTTCATTTAAGAATGCAAATTGTAGAGCAATATGATATTGCTTTGGATCCTGGTGGAAATATGAATAGTATATGCATGTTTATTACTAGTGAGAGGAGAAGCAGTTTGTGGCTGTGCCCCAGTAAGCAGAGCACAGCCCAGAGTTGGTCAGGTGAGGTTCTAGCCTTGCCTCATGGCACTGAGATGTTTACCTGTGGTGGTCTTCCACTTCAGTACTCTAATATCTCTTGCTTGTTTTGACTGTAATCGTTTGGCATAGGTAGCACAGGGACATAGGGACAACAGTCTGTTGTCACCTGTTTATGCCCAGAGGCACTGCCTTAAATGTATCTAATGTGTGAAATAGGATGAACAACATTCTACAGTGGTGCATAAAAATAATTGAATAGTGTGAATGCAGTGTATACCTTCTGTAATATGGTTTCTGTGTCGTTGAAGAAGATGGTATGAGATAGATGGTGACTGGAGAAATTTTTAATTCTGACTATTTTTCTTTGTTAAATAATAAAAAACCCCTCAAGTGTAACATTCTGTTCAGCAGTTAGAATTCCTTATGTGACCTGGGTGAAAAGAATACATGTTAAGGAGAAAATCTTATTTGATGCAGTTATAGTAACCAATCTTTAGTCTGTTTTAAAAGAGGTCTGAGTACTTGAGAACAAAAGTAGTGAAAGTGTTGAGGGGCCAGAAATTTACACGTGTCCTTCCCTGGGAATTAATGGCAGTATAGGTGTCACTGAATTTGTTTGTGTGATGTCCACTTAAATTATGTATGTGAAAACTTAAAGCCATCAGGAATTTTAAACTCAGAATTACTTTTCATGTTACTGTGAGCATAAAACATCTTGGACTCTACCTTCTGAAAGTTTTGACTTTAAATTAAAACTATCACCTTCTTCCACAGCTAAATTCTAGTCATGGGAAGTTCTTGGGGAGCAAACCTACATATGTATTACATGATTGTTATGTGGAAGCAAAAGGAGAAATGATTTACAGCACTTCCAGTAAGCATGTGCTTAAGTATTACACAAACATAACTTTCACATTTGTGTTTCAGGAAAACTAGATGCCTCTGCTGAAACTCTTCTGGATCAGGAATGTACAAACCCTGTGAGTTACTCAAGCCAGCTAGAAGACTCTGGATGTGATGTCTCTAATGACTATGCGTTCAATTCTTTAGGCGTAGCTTCTGATTTTCACCAACCCGAGCATAACACCAACACTTCTAAGCAGTGGTTGGAAAGGGTTCTCCCACTGAATCTTTGCAGTGCTAGCAAGGAGGGATCTCTGACTGCTCCAGTGCAGTTTTTGCAACATCTACTTGAAATAAAAAAACTGTCAGAAGGAGGAATTCTTAAAGCAGACTTCGCAGAGCTTGAGAAGGATTCTTTCACCATATGCAATTCAGTGTCTCAGCTGCTTGATGGACTGACCATTTTTTATAACAGTCCTAAATTTCCAGTTTCAAATTTTCTTACTGAAGCGGTTTGTGTTTTGATCAATTTAATAACTGATACAAAATTATCTAATCACGTTTTGAAGAAGTGTTTCAAGAAGTTGGAAGAATTTAAGAAAAATCTAGTTCAGGTTATTTTAAGAAACAGCAGCATCAATAGGGTAAGTTTAAAACTTCTTTTATCCTTCCTACACCGTTTCAGTATACTGTAATGTTCTGCTGGTTTTATGCACTTTTAAAATGTTTGTTTGTCTTACTGTATTTTGAAGAGTACTTCTTAGAGATATTTGTGATTGTTCTTTTTTGTGATATGGGCAATAAATGCTCTGAAGCATCTGAAAAAGTTCTTGCTCATGTATTCAAATCCTTCTAGGCTATTCCTTAGTAGAGGACTTTTAACAACTGTTAAAAAGAAAGATTAAACCAACTTTAGAGAAAATGAGAGGGGAAAAAAAATTATCTTGCTATACAAAGATAGACATTCACAAAGTAATGACTATACCATTTTTTTATGTTCTTGTGCACTTAGATTATGTAAGTTGGTTTGCTTCAGAAGATCTCTGTCACTCTCTAGAGCTTTGCAAATTTATGTCTTAAAAATAAAACAGCAAATGAGTGAAGAATTTGGAAATAACCATGTCCCTGGCACAAAGAGCCAATAGGACTGAATTGCATTTTGTCTGTATTCATCATTCTGCATTGTTCCTTGCATCATCTTGTTAGTTTCCTCATTCAGCTGAAATATCCCTAGTCTGTCTTCACAAGAAGTTACATAAGTAACGAATTCCATTGTCTGTTTTAGGATTTTTGGTTCTCATTCTGTCTAATAGAGTAACTTGGAACAGACAGGATGGTGGAATTGTTGGAGACTTAGGTGTATCACTTTAATCACATCCATATGGAACTACACTACCATTAGAGTAATGAAAATCATATTCCTATAATCCAGGGAGCCTAAAAAATGTGGCTGGATACTAGGTCCCTGTGTTGGGATGAGCTGTAAAGTTACCTGTAGCAAAATGAGAGCCTAGATACCTGCTACAACTGTGCCCAGTTGTCTTCATTTGAAATGAATCTGCTCACTGTGTATTAAATATTTACCTCAGAATGTAAATATCAAACATATATTCTTAATAAACTAAAGGGGGGATGTGGGGTGGATATGCGTGTATTATGGTTCAAAAGCATTTGTGACAAGATCTTCATCTACTGAAGCTTTTTGAGGACTAGAGCCTTGTGTCTCTAATACCAGGGTGCTTTGTATTTCAGTGTAGCCATGGTGTGATACTCAGCTTTTAATTAGAAGTGTCCTTGGCCAGCGTTGTGAAAGGATGTGAGCATACATAGCATTTGTGGGATATAGGGAGTAGAGTCCTGCGGCTGTGACTCCTTTTTGTGTGTGATTATAGGATTCAGAACAAAGAAAACATGAGCAGGCCCTTCCTGTCCTCTACCCAAGTGGGAAGTAAGAATAATTAAAATAATGTTAAATGTAGGAGAGCAACCAAGAGGTTATCCAGAGAGGGATTACTTGTTGATTGGAGGAAACTGGCAAAGCTTGTGTGAGAGATGTCACATCATAAATGAGATAAAATATGCTGGTGGATCAGGGATGTTTAAAATCTGCCAAGTGCTTTTATACATCGTTTAGGTAGGGTGGAGTATGTCCACATAATTTGCAAGTGGCATCTTTTCTCTGAATAACTGCACTGAAACAGATGGCTTTTTATGAGATGTTTTATGTCTTGCTTCCACAAAAAAAAAAATTGATTTAACAGTCATTCCTATTGGCAGCCATTACTTCAATCAGATTCAAACAGTTTAAAATTTGTATAAACCAATTATTAAGGGATAATTGTGGTAGTTTCAAGATCTCTAGGGAAAAGGGGAAAATGTGTGTAGTAATTGCAGTGTTTATAAAGATTTATTGAAAAATGCTTTTTAGAGGTTTGGTTTTCTTTAAACTGAATATGGAAATAAATATGTAGAATTCAGAATTAGTAGTGGAAATTGTATAACTAATTCTTCATGTGTTGTGTACCAGCTATCTCTCAGGGACACTTTATGCTTCAGTTTTAATCATCACTGTTTACTCAAGTGGTGACTGAAATATCAAGATTATAGGTTTAAAATAAAATTACCATTAATTATAAGGCTGTCATTTGG